ACTTTCCTCCATGAAAGAGTAAGCAAACTACAAGTGACACATGCATTATAAGACAATTGAACATAATATGAAACTCTTAAGAAAACACAATGATATCATTTATATCATGAAGCAAAATGATACTCAATAATAAAACATTTTGACATTGTTCTTTGGGGAGGAACTCCATCTTTGAGTTGAACTGAATCTCACAGTTGAATCTGCTGGTTTTGAAGATGAAGATAAACTTTATTCACTGTGAAAACTTTAGATAATTTTTCTTTGTCATATCACTTGTAATGACTGGTTAGAACAGATTAATCCAAATTATATTCTATTGCTTAATGCATTATTGTTTCAAGTTTGATGAGAAGGCAGCATCAGATCTGAAAGTGCTGGATCTGTAGATGATCTACTTACTGTGAATGTTTTTTGTATGACTGTGTAGAGCAGATGAACGATTGAAACACTTCCCACATGCAGTGCAGTGATACGGCTTCTCTCCAGTGTGGATCCTCTCATGTGTTTTCAGATTTGATGACACACTGAATCTCTTGTCACAGTGTGAACACTCATAAGGTTTCACTCCAATGTGGATCCTCTCATGTGATTTCAGATTTGTTGACTTATTGAATCTCTTGTTGCAGTGTGAACACTTATAAGGTTTCACTCCAATGTGGATCCTCTCATGTGTTTTCAGGTCTCCTGACCTATTGAATCCCTTGTTGCAGTGTGAACACTTATAAGGTTGCTCTCCAGTGTGGATGCTCATGTGTTCTTTAACATGTACTGATTGTGTGAAACTCTTCCCGCACTGATCACAAGTGTATGGTTTCTCTCCAGTGTGAACTCTCATGTGACCATCAAGACTATATTTGCATTTCAAACTCTTTCCACAAAGATTACATGAGTACAGTTTCTCTCCTGTATGAACTTTCATATGTGTCATAAGGCTTCCTTTTTGTGCGAAACTCTTCCCGCACTGATCACATGTGTACGGTTTCTCTCCAGTGTGGACTACCTTGTGTTTCTTCAGATGTGTTGATCGACTGAATCTTTTGTCACAGTGTGAACACTTGTACTGTTTCTCTCCAGTGTGGATGTTCATGTGATCCTTAAGGTGTGTTAAGTGTGCAAAACTCTTTCCACATTGATTACATATGAACAGTTTTTCTCCTGTATGAACTCTCATATGTGCCGTAAGGCTTCCTTTTTGTGTGAAACTCTTCCCACACTGATCACATGTGTGCGGTTTCTCTCCAGTGTGGACTAACTTGTGTTTCTTCAGGTCTCCTGACCGACTGAATCTCTTGTCACACTGTGAACACTTGTACTGTTTCTCTCCAGTGTGGATTTTCATGTGTACCTTAAGGCTTAACGATTGTGTGAAACACTTCCCGCACTGATCACAAGTGAATGGTCTCTCTCCAGTATGAATTCTCAAGTGAACATCAAGATTATATTTGCTCGTCAAACTCTTTCCACACTGAGTGCAGGTGAAATATTTCTTGGCTCCTCTTTTCTTTAAATCTTTCTGTTTGGTTTGAGGGCAACTCAAATGTTTTTCTCCAGTTTTGACATGATTTTTCTCCTGAACTTCATTTAATTCTTCATTCTCCTCACTTTCTTCAATAAACTCTAAAATAAAAGCAAAAACAGTTCATTTGTCAGTAACTTGGAAAAAAAAGAGATACGTGAAAGTACATAAAAGTGAACCCTGTTGTAACAGAGTAAAGACAATTTCAATAAAAAAATTTTCCTTTTGATGCAATTTTATAAATTATACTTCCCTGAAACTTTTCATGAATGAGTTACATTGATATTCAAAATATTATTTTTGAAACATTATAGAAACAAATCTCATGTTTCTATAAGGAGAACTATTAAATGTTTGATCAACTACAAAATTATCTAAAACATTTTGTTGAAAAAAAGTGTCCCTTATTATTTGCTGCTTCTTCTATATTATTCAACAGCTCTAACGTTTCTATTACAACAAACTAAATCTAAAACTGCTTGAAACTTTATAACTGTCACTATTGTTAACCTTCTGGGGTCGAAGACCACACTGGTGCGGTCTCATGTTTTTTCTTGATGAACCGCAAAAAGAGCTAAAAATACTCCGTAATTTTTGATCGTTCAGATACGAATAAGGTATCGTTTAAAACCGCAAAGGCAATATTTTGGCTTTAGACCTAATGAAAGAGGACAGCCAAGAGACACGTCTGAAGTGGTGTGCAGGATTTGTGCTCTTGTAATCCACACAAAAGATGGACAGACGACAAATTTACATGACCATTTGCATGTGCACCATTCCGCGGAATACAGTTAATTGCCAATGTCATCACGAACAACTGAACTTCACAAAACATCTAGGGACCAACCAACCATATCTGAGGCTTTTGCCAAAAGTACAAAGTACAAGCGTGACCGCGAAAGATGGAAGCAGTGTACTGATGCTGTAACTCGCTACCTAGCAAAAGAAATGGTTTCTTTTAATACGGTAGAGAAGAGCACATTTAGATTGCAATGTTACAATGTTAGAATGAAATGTGATTTAACCCTTTTTTGCACATAATATAAAGGCTTATGTTACATTCACTTTATTTGTTTTCATAGCCTTTAATATGTATTGTTTTGTGATTCATTCAGGAATGATAGCCTACACCAGTTCTGTGACGTTGGTTTAGTTAACGAGACACTGAACATATTCAATAGCGTTTGCTGCCATATTTTTTGATCAGTGCTTTACTCCAAAAGTGCGCACATATTGTAATATATAAAGTGCGCTTGTATTCACACGTTTACCTCATATTTCCTTAAATATAATAGAATCATAATTTCTTAGTGACAGAAAGAAAGACGATTCTCTGCTGATCCATCAGTCAATATTGCGTGATCATAATTCCCACATTACGGTGACGGTTCTGCGTTCTGTCTCATAATGCATTTATGCGTCAGTTTATTTTCAATGTCTTCATTAGGCCACAATAGAGTGAGTTTTGAGTAAAAACATTGTGTATTAATGTCATACTGTCACTATGAATTTTTATTCTGAGGTCCTGACTCTCTGTGGTCAATAAAAATCCCAGGATGTCTTTCGAAAAGAGTAGAGGTGTGACCTCGGCATCCT